TTTTGCTAATTTGCGCTCTCCCTTTTTTTCTTCTTTGTGAGTTTGGCCAGAGGTTTGTTGATTTTATTTACTTTTTCAAAAAAACCAGCTTTTGGTTTGGTTGATTTTTTCTATGGTCTTGTTAATCTCTATTGTATTTAATTTCTCTCTGATCTTTATTTTTCCTTCCTTCTGCTTCTTTTTGGGGCTTTTTGTTCTTCGTTTTCTAATTCATTCAGGTGGTGGGTTAACTTGTTTATTTGAGATTTTTCTTCTTTTTTGAGGAAGGCCTGTATCGCTATAAACTTCTCTCTTAGCACTTACTTTGCTGTGCCCCATAGGTTTTGAGTGGTTCTGCGTTCATTATCATTTGTTGCAATGTATTTTTTTAATTTCAGCTTTAATTTCCCCATTGATCCATTGTTTTTTCAATAACATATTGTTTAATCTCCATGCTTTCCTTTTTTTCTCCTTTGTTTCTCTGTTGTTTATTTCCAGTTTCATGGCATTGTGGTCAGTAAAGATGCTTGAGATAATTTCTATCTTCTTAAATTTGTTGAGGTTTCTTTTGTGCCCAAGTACATGATCGATCTTGGAAAATGTTCCATGTGCACTTCAAAAGAATGTATATCCTATTTTGGGGTGTGAAATGCTCTGAAAATATCCATCAAATCTAGTTTTTCTATTATAGTATTTAATTTCTCTGATGCCTTGTTTATTTTCTGTCTGAAGATCTGTCTAGTGATGTTAATGCAGTGTTAAAATCTCCAACTATGATTGTATTCCCATCAATATCCCCCTTTATCTCTGTTAGTAATTCTTATATGTACTTAGGAGCTCCTATATTGGGTGCATATATATTAACGAGTGTAATATCTTCATCTTGTATCACTCCTTTAATCATTATAAAATATCCTTCTTTATCTTTCTTTATGGCCTTTGTTTTAAAGTCTATTTTGTCTGAAATCACTACTGCAACACCTGCTTTTTTGGCTTTTCTATTTGCATGGAATATCCTTTTCCATCCTTTCACTCTCAATCTATATGTGTCCTTCTCCCTAAAGTGGGTCTCTTGTATGCAGCATATTGAAGGTTCTTGCTTTATTATCCACTCTGCCACTCTATGTCTTTTGACTGGAGCATTTAGTCCATTAACATTTACAGTAATTAACGAAAGATGTGTTTATTTCCATTTTGAA